AACTTCGCGCCTGGGAGGTCGAGGTGGCTGGGGGTGTCAGACGCGGCGGGGGGCGCCGGCGCGAGTTTTTTCAGGGTGGGGGGGGGCCTTGAAACCGCGCCCAGGAGGTCAAGGTGGCTGGGGGCGTCAGATGCGGCGGGAGGTGCCGGCGCGAGTTTTCGCAGGGGAGGGGCCTTAAAACAACGCGCCCAGGAGGTCGAGGTGGCTGGGGTGTCAGACGCGGGAGGCGGGGGCGGGGCCGGCGCGAGTTTTTGCAGACCACGCCCAGGAGGTCGAGGCGGCTGGGGCGTCAGACGCGGCGGGGGGCGTTGGCGCGAGTTTTTGCAAGGTGTGGGGCCGTAGGACACCGCGCCCATGTGGTCGAGGCGGCTGGGGGTGTCGTCGCGGTGGGGGATCGGGCGCGCCCAGGAGGTCGAGGTTGTTGCGGGTGTCAAACGCGGTGGGGGGTGCCGGCGCAAGTTTTTGCAGGGTGGGGGGGCCCTGAAACGCCGCGCCCGGGAGGTCGAGGTGGCTGGGGGCGTCAGACGCGGCGGGGGGGTCTGGCGCGAGTTTTTGCAGGGTCGGGGGCCTTCAAACACCGCGCCCAGGAGGTCGAGGTGGCTGGGGGTGTCAGACGCGGCGGGGGGCGTGGGGGTGTCAGACGCGGCGGGGGGTGCCGGCGTGAGTTTCTGCAGGGTGGGGGTGCCTTAAACGCCGCGCCCAGGAGGTCGAGGTGGCTGGGGGTGTCAGACGCGGCGGGGGGTGCCGGCGCGAGTTTTTGCAGGGAAGGGGGTCCTGAAACACCGCGCCTGTGCGTGAAGTCCGCTCGCTTTCCTATCGCATCCCGTCCGCAACTGTGCTTGCTCAGGTATTGAAACACTGACTCGGCGCGCTGCTCGCTGCGCAGTGCCTGGGAAAACAACCTCCATCAACGGGCCCCATGCAGGAGCGGCCCCTCGGCCGTCTCCCTGTGCGCACAGTTTATCAGCCTTTTTTCATAACCGCTTCTTGCTGTTGCAATTCGCGCCATCTTGGATTCCACCGCTTGGCGTCGCGACTTCGTTGCGCTGCCTTCAGCGCGCGCTCTCCTCGACGGCGCATGCTAGCAATGGCGTCGTGGAGAGGGCGCAAGAAATTGCGATGCCCATCTCCCCCCTCTCAGGTGACGGCAGCGCCTCGTTTCCTGCGGCGGCTCTCGGGGAATTCCCACCCGATTCTCCGACGTCTCCGCCGGCTCCTCTCGCGCGCCACGACCCTCGCGACAGCGGCTGGATTCGCCTCCCGCGGAGCCTGATGCGTCCGACCCGTCGGTGGCTACACCCGCAGTTGTCGCGTCTGTCTTCGGGGCCGACCCTGGCTTCAATGCGCCTGCTGTCTCGCCGCCCGCCTCCGCTGACACGCACCGGCGTCGGTCGCAATTGCCGCTGGGCCAAGATTCCGTCGCCTACAAACGTCTCTGTCTCAGAGCATGCGCGGGTCATCGAGATTCGCGCTGGCCGGGCATCTCAGCGACAGGTTCCAGAGAGGTATCACATTCGTTCTCCTACTCGAGACGCCAGCCGCAGCCCCTCACAGCGGCGCTCCCGGCATGGCTCTCAGCTGCGCAACCTTGCTGCGCAATCCTCTCCTACCGTCAGCGATCTGGCGGAGCTTCGAGACCGGGTTGAAAATGCACGACCCAACAACTGTCGGGTCTGGCCGCTCAGACGACCACAATGAGACAGGAGCTTCAGCAAGCTCTTGCCCTGGTCGACGCTAGGATCGCCGAGGATCGATCGATCATCCCTCAGGTCCAATTCCAGGTCGACCAGATGGAGTCACACCGGGGTGCCGACTCCAGAACGAGCCAGACGCTTCACGACTACCACCTACAGATGGAGGCACAACTTGTGACCGTCAGGGATACTGGGGCTGCTGCTGTCAGGACCCTACACGATGAGCTCCTGATGGCACGGCGTACCCCACCTATGGAGGTACATGGATCTACGGACTCCCAGCTACGTGATGATTTGGATACGCCTCGCAACCAGGTCCAACAGCACGCTGCTACGATGCCCTCCACCCATGCCACCCTCACGTCTGAGTTAGATGGTAAGCTGCGCGGTGCCGAGACGGCCCTCACTCACCGACCTGGAACTTTCGAAGGACGCGCCCCAGCGCTTGAGAACCGAGTCTCCCAGGTCGAGGAGCATTTCCCAAAGCTACGGACTGCGCTGGCCGAGTTGCATGCTGCGCGGGCCCAGACTGACCAGCCGGGCACCCCGACGTCGGTTTACGATTTCGCCTCTCTCGACGCCCGCTTGGCCGAGGTACAGCAGGCAGCGGACCACGTGCAGATGCGATTTATTCAGATCTCCCAGGAGGCAGACGCTGAACAAGCGCGGGCCGACTCACTACTTGCCCGTTTGGAACAAGAGCGCGAAGCACACAACCAACAATTCCAAGACCTCGAGCGCAGGCTGGACAGGTACTCCCAGCGGACCCACGATACCAACGTTGAAATACGTGGTCTCCAACAGAGTGTCCAACACATGCAGCGCACCGACGCGACCAACGAAGCTAATTACGCTGACCTCGCACGTTAGCAACGCTGAGCTCCACCGCCAACCTCCAGACCATCGTCGCGCTCCTACGCCTGCCGATGGGAGCGCCCCCGCGGGCCGTGCACGACGCACCTCACCTGGGGCCGCTTTAGCCGCGGCTTCCGCTCAGACACGTCGCGTTTTCCGGTGCGAGATTCTTCTCCACCAAAACCGGTTCCTTCGCAGACTTTGTCGCGCGCCTCTGCCACCGCCGTTGCTCCTATCAAGGAGCCCGACACCGTACGTATACCACAACTGCCACGCATTGCGCAACTACAGGAGTGGCAGCAGACAGTTCGCAACAACTTTGGCAGTGCATCTGGGCGCCCTGCCAAGGCGTGCGCTTTCCTTTGCATTGCAGAAAAACCGACAACGACCTACGACGACCTCCAGGACAGCGGCGACTTGGAGAGCATCCACTGCAAACTCGCAGCTGGGCTCGCCGCGATCCTCAATTCTGAGCTCCGCTACCGCATTAGGAACCTTACAGCTCAGGAGCACAAGGCCGGCCGTGTGCTCAAAGGCAGACGAATCTACTGGACGATGCTGCAGTCCCACAAGGTCACTGCAGTGGACGACACTCTGCACGACTTCGAACGCCTGCAGCCACTGCGCATGCGGGACGACGACTTGCAACGGTTCATCGTAGACTGGGACAATATGCTACTGGATTGCCGCGAACCACCCGACACGATCATATTGGAGTCTCTATTCCGTGCTCAGATACGACGTCATTGTCTGATGAAGCAGGACATGCACGACTACAACGAAACGACTCCAAACAATCCCAACAAAACGTACGATAGGTTTCGACAACGAGTTCTTGACAATCTTGAACTCTTACCGACTTGAGCGCATTCAGCACCACCTCAAAAACGAGTCTATCCGACACGTCTCCGTGATCAGCGCGGCGTTCAAATCGGGCAAATGCAAAGATGGGGAAAAGTGCAAAGTGCTCCACGCGGGCTCCACGCGACTTCCTACGTCTTCTGCCCGTAACTACCGTGACAGACGATCTTCTATTGGTTGCTCCACTGGACCAACGACGAAAGACAAGCCGCGGCAAAACTTCTGCTTTGATTTCGCCGAGACATGATCCCGTTCCAAGAAAGAGCGTTGCACATACCCCCACGTGCCAGCATGCACCTTCTACGCAGTCCCGAAGCAAACCTGCAAGCACGTCGACCGCTGCCGCATTGCCCACATCAACCCCGACACGAAGACTCCCGACCGGAGCCCTGTTCGGCGACGCAGCAAAGACAGCCGCAACAGGACACCCTCTCCGCGACGAGCGGGGGGCCGGCGACAATCACCCTACAAGAAACGACAGCAGTCTCGAAGTCCGGGGGGCACGAGTTGGTCACGACGAGGATCACCATCTCCACAGCGCGGGGGGCGACGCGAGTCTCGCTCTCCAGAGCGTTGCAGATGGTCACCACGTCCTCCACAGCCTTCGCGTTCTCCGTCTAGGACATCCCACTGGGACGCGTCCTGTGGCTGTTCTCCTACCAGGAGTGACAGATCGAACAGCCGTTCATCGTCCCGATACAACAGTCGCTCACCGTCGACGCGTGATCGCGTTCGGTTACCAGCTCCAGGCCGCTACGATCGACGGCGTGACCGCGCTGCGGTCTCACGAGAACGGACTCTCATCTTGTCTGACTCCGCAATGAAGCATATCATATTTGACCCACACAACGTGGACATTACTACATAAACGGTAAAAGGCACAAAGTACAAATGGACGGAGCAGGCGTGTACGTTTGCGCTTCGTGCCGCGCAGGAGGGCGCCCAACGATTGTATGGCGTCATTACCATGGCGACCACGACCGCTTCCGCGTCGGTGGTAACACCCACACCGACGCCCCTGCGGTCCACGGCTGCGCTTTCACGTGCACGTATCTTGCACAGTGGTTCAGCCCATCATATACAGGACAAGTCCGACCTCCGACCTCACGAGACTAATCGAGCACGGCAAGGGCGCGATCACATCCTCGAGGCTGCCAACGGCTATCGCGTCGTCAACACCACGCCCAAAAGGTCGAGGTGGTTGGGGGTGTCAGACGCGCAGATGGGTGAAAACGTGAGTTTTTGCAGCGCCCACAAAGTCGAGGTGGTTGGGGATGCCAAACGCGGTAGGGGATGCCAGCGCAAGTTTTAGCAGGGGTGGGGGGGTCCTAAAACACCACGCTCAGGAGGTCGAGGTGGCTGGGGTCAGACGTGGCGGAGGCTTGGTGGGGAGTCCCGCCTCTTTGCTTCACACGCATGTGGGGTCGGCGGATAATAATATTTATTGTTGTGAGAAGAAGCATAAACATCATAAATAGGCGAAGAAAAGTTCAGATCTCGTGACCCTGCACCCTGCCAGGGGGCGGCGGCCTCCTCAGGACGCCCCCCCGGACACTCCCCTGACCTTCCCCCCCCGTGCGCGCCGCAGAGGCCAGGCATGATGATCTTCGGGGACCTCGAGAAGGACAGGTACAAGGAGGTCGGTTGTTCCGCGTAGTGAAGGGAGGAAGTATGAGGAGGGGGGGGGGGAGGAGGGGAGGATGAGGAAGGAGGGAGGGAAGGAGGCAGGGAGGGAGGAGGAGGAGGAGGAGAAGGAGGAGGAGGACCAGCGCCCCATGGGCCTGCCATCTAGGCGAAAACATCTTTTTGAAAAGTCGCTGCCTGCATTCATCTGTCGACGAATAAGAAATACGAGATGGTATGATCATACAGTTCAGCGAGGTGTCCCACGAAATTCCCGTTTTAACGAACGGCGGCTCTAATCTGAATGATTGTTGCACGCGTTTGCGCATTTGGTCATGTCCTTCGAAAAAGAAACCGTTCTCCGTCCAAGCAGCTGTAACAGCTTTCTCTTTACTAGAAAACAACCGAGGAGAAGCCCGTTTGAAAATGATATGTTCTTCATATGTGCACTTGTTGCAAATTTGTCGGACGAATGTGCGTGGCGCTAAGGCGACCACCCCATTTCGAAATGGGAGCGCACTTCATCCTCGAAGCTGTTGTGTTGCGCACTTTCTGCGATGCGTGTGCGCGGCGCGACAACGGGAGCTCAATCCTGAAGAGGAACTACCGTCCGTTCTTGAAGTTGCTGCCAACTTTTCAGACGCTCGTGCGCGGCGCTGAGGCGGGAACCTCATGCTGGAAACGACATCCCCTCCATCCTCGAAACGGCTGCAAGCCTTCCAGACGGACGTGCGCGGCGCTAAGGCAAGAGTCCCATTTCGAAAACTACTTGTCCATGCTCGAAGCTGTTGCAAACTGTGAAGACGACTGTGCGCGGCGCTGAGGCGATGGCCCAATTCCCCCCCTCCATGTTTAATTGCTGCCAACTTTTTCGGACGAATGTGCGCGGCACCAGGGCCAATGCGAGAGCTTCATTTTGAAAGACACCCCGCTCCATCCGTGTAACTGTGCATGTATCAGAGTCAGGATGCGGGAGTCTGCGGGTTCCTCGGAAATTTTGAAGATACTTGGGGAGTCCCGAAGGGCCCTTCAGGAGTTCTTCGCTGTCCAGGGGGACTTCGAGGGGATTATGAGGAGTTTTGAGGCATGCGCAGGACATCTAGAAGGAGCCCGAAGGGAACCAGAGTAATTGTCGAATAATCGAATGAGTGCTGGCGAACCCTGGAGGAAGTATGGGGAACCCTGAGAGACCCCCGGAGATCCCGCGGAATCCCAAGGGAACTTGCGGAACCCGAAAGGAATCTGAGGAACATTTACGAGATCTTTGGAGAATCTGGGCAAACCTAAAGTATTCGACTAGTCTTAAGGCATCCTGGAAGAATCCGTGAGGATTCCCACGGGAGCGCTGCGACTGCCAAAATTTTGAGGACTCTCGGCGGAGCCCTGGTTTTTCTGTTACGTGTGTGCGGTCTTTTGAGCAGGGCTTGTATTAGGGTCGCACCACGGAGTGTAGAGGTTAAATTTGAAACGGGGCAATTCAAAACGTCATTTGCGCGCGGGAAGAACATGTGTAATATATAATTGGCAGTTTATGCGTATGGTATGTCTATTGTTTTGCGTTTGTAGGTGTTTGATGTTTGCATTGTATATCGTGTTTGGATGGCAGTGTATTTGAATTGTGTTTGTGCTCGTAGTGCAGTTGTCGTGTATTGGATTTGTGTGTTGTAATGCATGTGGATTGTGTCTGTTCCGTATGGCCTTAGTAGTTTAGCGAATGCGTATTTTATTTGTATTGTGCAGATCCCGATCCTGAAACCGAGCCCGAACCCGAACCTGACTTCTTCCCAACCATATTGTGGTGTTGGGCCCCTGTTTTGAAGAGACATCGCCCCGCGTTCTCCTGTTCTCCTCTCCTCCTCCTCCTCCTCCTCCTCCTCCCCCTCTGCCCCCTCCTCCCGACCCTCTCATCCCGTGCGCCCCTCACACGTTTTGTGGCCCCATAGGGACCTCCACCGAAGGCTCTGGTGGGAAATGTTGCATTCAGTTCCACCCCAATTTCGTCGCACCCCTCACACGTTTCGTGGTTCCATAGGGAGCTCCACCGAAGGCCTCAGTGGGACAGTTCGCATGCAGTTCCACCTCCACTTCGGTGCACCCTTCACACGGTTCGTGGCCCCGCAGAGAGTTCCACCGAAGGCCCTTGTGGGACAGTTCGCATGCAGTTCTATTCCCCATGTCGGCGCACCCCTCACACGGTTCGTGGCCCCACGTAGGCCCAGAGGGAAGTTTGCATGCAGTTCCAGCAGTTCCATTTCATTCGGAACCACCAGCACACGGGGGGGTTTTTTGTTTTTTTTTGTTATTTTATATCTATTTTATTTATTTTTTTTTTTTTTCTTTTTTTTTTTTTTCTTTTTTTTTTTTTTTGTTTTTTTTTTTTTTTCTTTTTTTCTTTTTTTGTTTTTTCTGTTCTTTTTTGTATTTTTTCTTTTTTTTTTTTTTTTTTGTTTTTTATTTTTTTTTTTTTGGGTGTGGGTGTTGGGGGTGGGGGGGTGGGGGGGGGGGGGTGTGGGGGGGGTTTTTTTTTTTTTTTTTTTTTTTTTTTCTATTTTTTTTTTTTTTTTTTTTTTTTTTTTTACTTTTTTTTTTTTTTTTTTTTTTTCTTTTTTTTTATTTTTTTTTTTTTTTTTTACTTTCGTGGCCCCGTATGGAGTTCCAACGAAGGCTTTAGAGGGAACGTTCGCATGCAGTTCCACCACAATTTCGTCGCACCCTTCACGCGTTTCGTGGTCCCATAGGGAGCTCCACCGAAGGCCCCAGTGGGGAAGTCCGCATGCAGTTCCACCCCCCATTTCGGCGCACTCCTCACACGGTTCGTGCCCGCTACGGAGTTCCGAAGGTCTCATTGGGCAAGTTCGCATGCAATTCCACCCCCGATTTCGGCACACACACCTAACGCGTTTCGTGGCCCCGTAGGGCGCTACACCGAAGTCCCCAGTGGGAAAGCTCGCATGCAGTTCCGCCCCATTTCGGCGTTCCCCCCCACACATGGTCCGTGGCCCCATAGGTAGCCCATTATTTTCGGTTTTAGCTTATATTAGGGTCCGGGGCTCTTTCTGTTTTATGTTTGGGTCTTTTGTTATGTCTTTTTTTGTCTTTTTTTTTTTCTCTCTTTATTATTTTTTGTGGCTTATCCCTTGTTGTGTTTTTTGTCACTTTAGGATAGCTCCTCTATTTTATGATTTCTTTTTTTTGCTTAATATTTCGTTGTTCTCCTTTGTTATTCTTTCCACCGAAGGTCCCAGTGGGAGAGTTCGCGTGCAGTCCCACCCCCCCATTTCGGCGCACCCCTCACACAGTTCGTGGTCCCAAAGGGAGCTCCACCGAAGGCTCCAATGGGACAGTTTGCATGCAGTTCCAACCCATTTCGGCGCACCCGTCACGCGTTTCGTGGCCCCGTAGGGCGTTCCACCGAAGGCCCTAGAGGGAAATATCGCGTGCAGTTCCATCTCCATCTCGTCGCACCCCTCGCATGTTTCATGGCCCATTAAGAAGCCTCCCCGCAGGCCACAATGGGAAACTGCGCAAGCAGTTCCACACGAAATTTCGGCGCACCCCTCACACGGTCCGTGGCCCCATTAGGAGTTCCGCCGAAGGCCCCAGTTGCAGGGTTCGCATGCAGTTGCATCCCCACGTCGGCTCATCTCTCCTATGTTTCGTCTCCCTACCGGGAGCTGTACCCAAAACGATGCACCCCGCTACGGCACTCACGACTACTACTACGACGACTACTACTACTACTTCTCCTTCTCCTTCTTCTTCTACTACTACTACTACTACTACTACTACGGCTACTACTACTACTACTACTACTACTACTACTACTACTACTACTACTACTACGGCCACTACTACTACTACTACTACTACTACTACTACTACTACTACCTCTACTGCTACTACTACTACTACTACTACTACTACTACTACTACTACGACTACCTATACGACTACTATCACGATTACGACTAGGGTTACCTCTATTATTGTTGCTACTCTGTTCTATTACTTCGACGACTACTACTACTACTACTATTGCTTCTTCTACTGCTGCTACCACTGCTACCCTGACTACAACGACTGCGACTACTACTACTACTACTACTACTACTACTACTACTACTACTACTACTGCCGCTACTGCGGCTACTACCACCACTACTATTACTACTACTACTACTACTACTACTACTACTACTACTACGACTACTACTACTACTATTTCACCTTTACGACTTACACTTACTTACTTACTAATACTACTACTACTAATGGCGACGTACTACTACTACTACTACTACTACTACTACTACTACTACAACTACTACTACTACTACTACTACTACTGCTGCTACTACTACTACTACTACGCCGACGACTACAACCACTACTGCGACTACGACTGCGACTACACCTACGACTACGAGTACGGCTAAGACTAGTACCGTACGATTACCACTGCGATTACGACCACTTACTGCTACGACTACTACTAGTATTGCCATTTCTAGACGACTACGGCTTCTATTCTTACTACTACTACTACTGCTACTACTACTACTACTACTATTATTACTACTACTACTACTACTACCATTATTACCACTACTATTGCTACTACTACTACTACTACTACTACTACTACTAGTACCGCTACTACTCGTACTACTACTACTACTACTACTACTACTACTACTACTACTACTACTACTACTTCTACTACTTCTACTACTACTACTACTACTACCATTACTACTAATCCTATCACTACCGCTTCTTCTTCTTCTACTACTACTACTACTACTACTACTACTACTACCACGACGGCTACGACTACGACTGCGACCACTACAATTTCTACCAGTGCTACTACTACTACTACTACTCCTACTACTACTACTACTACTACTATTACGACTACTGCTACGACTACTACTACTATTACTACCACTACTACTACTACTACCACTACTACTACTACTACTACTACTACTACTACCACTACCACTTCTACTACCACTACTACTACTACTACTACTACTACTACTATTACTACTACTACTACGACTACTACTACTACTACTACTACCACTACTACTACTACTACTACTACTACTACTGCCCCTACCACTACCACTACCACTACTACTAGTACTAGTACTACTGCTACTACGACTACTACTACTGCTACTACCACCACCTGCTACTACTACTACTACTACTACTACAACAACAACAACTACAACTACAACTACAACTACTACTACTACTACTACTACTACTACTACTACTACTACTACTACTACTACGACTACTACTACTACTACTACTACGACTACTACTACTACTACGACTGCTACTACTACGACTACTACTAGTACTACTACTACTACTTCTATCCGTAAGGGATTGGCCCCCTGCCGCCGGCCCCCTCTCTCGGATAATGGGCCATGGAAGAGGGACGCCATGAGGCTTTAGTTTCACCGTGAAGCAGCGTCGCAACTTCATGCGAAGACGATGGGTAATTGGCAAGACGAATGGAGATTGCGAGTCTATTGTTGTACTCGCTGTTGTATTTTCCATTTGCTCCCGTATGCTGTGCCCAAATCTTCTCCCCGAATTTGAACTTGTTGGAAGTCTCTTGTGTCCTGACCGCCGATCTGCGTGAGGGGTACCAGCGAATTTCAGAAATGTGGCAAATCCCATGTGTTTTTGGACCCTGACCCCGCCGATCTGCGTGAGGGGTGCCAGCGAATTTCAGAAATGTGGCAAATCCCATGTGTTTTTGGACCCTGACCCCGCCGATCTGCGTGATGTGCTCCACCGAATTTCAGAAATGTGACACATCCTCTGCGTTGTTGCATCCTGACCCCGCCGATCTGCGTGAGGGGTGCCACCGAATGTCAGACATGTGGCAAACCTCATATGTGTTGGACCCTGACCCCGCCGATCTGCGTGAGGGGTGCCAGCAATTATTGAGATGTGGCAGATCCCATATGTTTTTGGACCCTGACCCCGCCGATCTGCGTGAGGGTTGCCACCCGATTTCAGAGAATGTGGCAAATCCCTTGTGTTTTTGGTCCCTGACCCCGCCGATCTGCGTGAGATGTGCCAATTTCTACCCACCCCAGCAATTCAGAGCACACGCTCAAGGCTTGCTAAACCTGCTCGTTTGGGCCTCCCCCCCCTCGCGCGGTCCATCAACAAGAAGCAGCGAGCAGCAAGAAGCAGAACTGTAACAGTGGAAACTGGAAGCTGCAACTGGTACAGGAAACTGCGAACCTTCGGCCTACATCCTGGTGGCCCCACAAGGGGGCCGGCGGATTAGCATTATTATTACTATGACTATCACTAGTACTACTACTACTACTACTACTACTACTACTACGACTACTACTACGACTACTACTACTACTACTACTACTACTACTGCTACGACTACTACTACTACTACTACTACTACTACGACTACTACTACTGCTACTACTACTACTGAATACTACTACTACTGCTACTACTACTACTACTACTCCTACTACGACTACCGACTATATACTACTACTAATTACTACTACAGCTACTACTAGTACTACTATACTTACTACTGACTTCTTGTTCTTGTAACTTACTATTACTACTACTACTGCTACTACTACTACTACTATTCACTTTTATACTACTACTACTCTTTACTAATACTACTACTACTTACTATTACTACTACTACTACTTACTTACTATGTGTATTACTGTTGCTTCCACTACTACTACTTCTACTACTTACTACTACTACTACCACTACTAATATACTACTCTACTACTCTTACTACGACGACTTTTACTACTAACTTTTATTTTTGCCTCCTACTAGTACTACAACAACTTCTACTACTACTACTACCACCACTACTACTACTATTACTACTACTACTACTGCTACTACTACTACTACGACTACTACTACTTTTACTACTACTACTACTACCACCACTGCTACTACTACAACTACTATGGCTACTTCTACTACTACTACTACTACTACTATTATTACGACTACTACTACTACTGCTACTACTACTACTACTACTACTCCTACTGCTGCTGCTACTACTACTACTGACACCATTTTCACGACTAGTGCTGCTGCTACTACCATTGCTGCTATTACTGCTGCTACTACTACTACTACTACTACTACTACTACTACTACTACGACTACTACTACTACTACTACTACTACTACTACTACGACTATTTCTCGGGTTGAACGCTTCCGCCGTGCATTGTCAAGGCAGAGGAGGAAGAAGAGGAGGACGACGACGGCGCCAACGACGCAGACGACGACGACCACCACCACCACCACCACCGCCGCCACCACCACCACCACCACCACCAGCACCGCCACCACCACCACCACCACCACCACCACCAGCACCACCACCACCACCACCACAAGCACCACCACCACCACCACCACCCCCCCCACCCACCCACCCACCCACCCACCTACCCGCCTGCCCACCCACCCACCCACTCAGCCACCCACCCACCCACCACCTACCACCGACCCACCATCACCAACACTCCGCTAAGAACACCGCCGCCACCAATGTGCGTCTGTCTCCTTGCGACTACCCGTCCCGCCTCCCGCCCGTGACCTTTCCAGGTGCGGCACTACATCATCGAGGCCGTTCTGGCCACGGACTATTCTCGGCACTTCAACTTGGTCCAGCAGGTTGGGTCCAGTTCTTGGCACCGTTAGGCGTATATCCATCCCCGCAAAGCCGATTCGATCTTGGTCTCGGCTGGCCTGATCCGATTCGAGTCAGATTTTCCGATACTTCGAGGTTCCGATGCGGCCCAGTGTTTGCATGGCGTTGTTGTGCATCTTGGCGCGGCCGATTCAATTCGACTTCGACTCCGTGCCGATGCAGTCCGATCCGACACGCGTTCCGATCCGATCCGATTTCCCGATTCGATGCTGATTGGCCTTGGCAGGTCGAAACTCTGTACGAGATGAACAATGAACTCTTTGACACCTCCGACGAGATGTACAGGACTGCCGCGATCAGGAGGAGGCCTCTTCGTGGCGTCCACTGTACCAGCGTCGACCAATCAACTGCGACTAGGTGCCGCTGGAAATACCGTCTAACATATTTTCCATGTCGACTCAGACAATGGTTTGGGAGATTTGCCAGGATCAGATTCAAGGCATCCGGTCTGCCAGAGGCGCGTGGCTTGCAACGCTGAGCGGGACATGTGCTGACCGCTCATCCAGATGCGTTGCGCGTGATGCCGTGCCTCCGCGCTAGGGAATGCAAGCGTACGGTGCGTGGAGTTTGGCTTTACGTTCCAAACGGCTTTTCCTCTGGGGAGGTAGGCGAATCCCAACGCTCAACGCCTGTCTACTCCATGCTTCTACCTTCCTCTTCTCTGCGGACTGTTCAAGGCCTTCTCAGAAGGCTTCGGGGCTTCTCAGAAACCCACGCGCCTCCTGAGAAGCAGTCGGTTTCCTAGGAGACGGCTCAGAGAGCTCTTCATACGGTTGGAGGCCTTCCGAGACTTCTGAGAAGCCCCGTCCACTCTGGCTTCCTTGAGATCCGCTGTCACGAACAACAATACAACATCATCACAACAACTCGACTGGAGCCCTGGAACTCATCTCTCTGCGGCACGTTTCGAACAGGACCGATCCGTGAGGATTCCGAGGCCCGGGATCTGGCAGAATCGCCCGCTGCGAACAAAAGATTTGTTGCCAGGATCTCCGAACCACATTTCAGGTGATCATGTCACAACGCGGCTCCCCAGAGGTCTGGACCCCTTCCCTGGGTTCAGCTTTTCATCCTGAGGCGTTTTGTTGACGGTCCTGGAGCCCGGCGAGGGCCCCCAGAAACTGGAGATGGTGAACAACCTTCGGTCGTGATTTTTTTAAAGAGGCGAGGATCACAAGGCCCCCCCCTAAGGGGTTCCATCCTGGGCTCGCCGCCAAGCCATCGGGCTCGCGCGTTTGCGGTACCGCGCCTGAGGCTCGCCGTCGCGCTCGGGAAGGCAGAGCCGCAGAGGCGCGGCGCCGCGGCACGGCGGGCTCGATCCGACTTGGTGACGACACATTCTGACGATGCGAGGCGGCCCGATGCTTGCCTGGCGCTGCTGTGCAGCCTGGCGCTGCGGGCCCCCTGGGGGCCTCTCGGGGGCCCGCCCTGCACGCGGCCTCGTTGGCCCAAGGAGCGGGGACACAATTTCCAGGTCTCCCAGATGGGGTCCGAGTAGATGGGGTCGGAGGATCGCGCCACGTCCCCGATGCGTCGGCGATGCGGCTCGATGTGGAGCCCGATTTGCTCCATGCCGACCGCGCCGATGCTTTGGCGATTCGTGGGCGATGCGACGCGATCATCCGACCCCGCCTACTGAGACCCCATCTGGGACCCCGATGGACGCGATACTCCACCCCCGACCTCGCCGCCGGCCTCTTCCTCGCCGCCCCCCTCTCCCCGCCTCCCTCTTTCGGTCCGAGGCGGCGATTCATACATACCCACCGCCTGTGGGATCGATCTTCGGGGACCTCGGAAGGCGGTGGATATGGGCGTCTTCGGGCCCTGGGGGGCCAAACATGTCAAATGTTCATATCCACCACCTGCCGAGGTCCTCGGAGATCCTCCGACCCAATCTGCGCGGACCCCAGTTGGGAGACTTCACCATGCCACCTCGGGCTGGTGCCACCCCTGGCAAGGCACCCGCCCGCCGACGCCAGCCCTCAGAGGACCGGACGGGCTCTTCGGCAGGCGCGTTGTCGCCGAAGCGACGGGCGGGCACAGAACCAGTTCTTTCGAAGCTGCGGCCCCCGCGCGATTCAGGGACAACGTTAAGGGGGGACACAAGGCCGCCTACGATCCGACTTGATGCGCTTCGATTCGCCAGCTGGGCCCGCGATTCCGATACGATTCGATTCGGTTCCACCACCGGCATCGGCCTGGGCCAGCCAGAGGCCAGGCACGGCGATCCGATTTCGATCCTATTCGGGACGATTCGCTGGCGATCCGGTTTGTTTCCGATCCGATCCGATCTGGCGATTCTGGGGGATGCATCGACTCCCAATCGCCCATTCATCGTTGTTGGGAGTTTGATGGATGTATTGGCGACGTATCGCCGATTCCAGGCCGATGTTTCTCACCCCCCTGAGCGGGTCCCCTCTTATCGTTGCCTCGCAGCCGCGCCCTGATTGGCACGGGCGGACTCCCTAGCGGAGCGCGCACGACTCCGGCCTTCGTTCGCCCTTTCGCTCGCTCCCTGAGGTCCGACGGCGCGAAATGGTTCTAATATCGTGAAACAACACGACCAGAGCCCCGGAGCCCGTCTTTCTGCGGCACTTTTCGAGCCACATCGGTTCGTGAGGGTCCGCCGCTGTGAGAAACTTCCGACGCCAGGATCTCAGCGTTCGCTCACTTGTTCGGCTGCGCCGACCCCCCCCCGAAGGATGGGCGCGTCAGCCTTCCCCTCGCGGGAGGTCGTGGACTTCTTCCGCGGCAAGGCGCCAGCCCACCCCCCTTCCCTGGCGCGCCCCGTATCCCCAGCGGAGCGCCCCGCGGCGGAGCGCCCCGCGGCGGAGCGCCCCGCGGCGGAGCGCCCCGCGGCGGAGCGCCCCGCGGCGGAGCGCTGCGGCGGGCGCTCCTGGGGATTCGACGACGACGACGGCGACGAATCGGCTACACGTAAGAGGGACCCTTTGACGGGGTGACCTTTGATGCACGTCTTTCGGGGGGCGTGGTGGGAGGAAGGGACGGGCGAACGGGAGAGTCGACGACGGCGGCGCAGCTCATCCCTGTTTCGCCCTGTTTCGCGTCCCGGGGCCCTCCTGGCTAGAACAATGCCGCAGAAAGGGTTGTAAGGATCTGGTCGTGATGTTTCGCGATTTTGTATTTTTTCGCGACGTCGGACCTCAGGTTCCTGTGAATCCAAGACTGCGGGTATTGGGTCCTCGACGGTGCTCCTCCTCCCTCCTCCAGCCTGGTTGCTCAGGCACGCTGCCAGTCGCGAGGCTCTCGCTTGGTCGCGGGGACATATCCTCCTCCTCCTCCTCCTCCTCCTCCTCCTCCTCCTCCTCCTCCTCCTCCTCCTCCTCCTACGGCGACATGGCATCTCAGGATGCTCTCCTCGCCACGGCTGGGCTCGGCTCGGACATCTGGGCGCGGCTCGGATCCCGGTCGGAGTGGGGGACGGGTCGTTGGCGTGCTTTGGCCCAGGGGGGCGGCGAGGAAGGGGTCGACACGTGCGACATGATTGCGGGGGGGGCCGCACTCAGGCTCAGTTTTTCTTCGGCTTCTTGCCTTGATTCCAGTCGCGGCCCAAACATCCAGCCATTGGGGTTGGGGCCATCCCGAAGCTTCCTCAATTGGGAGGTGGGTGCGAGCTCTGCCTCATGCGGCCGCTGGTTTCAGCAGGAGGCGCCGCGTGGAAGCAGGCTGCGCGAGCCGAAGCGGGAAGCAGAGAAACGGGGGTCGCCACCAAGACCCCATCGGCGTGGGGAGAGCCGGCCCCTTGACGGTGGCACGCTCGAGACTTGTCCTGAAGTGCGTGACGCTCGGGCGTGCCGCCGCCCAGGGGTCGCCCTCCCTCCCCCCCCTCCAGTGGGGGCTCGGTGGCCGAGAGTGGGCGCCCCCCTCGGGGCAGGCCCCTCTACTTCCGACTGGGGCCCCGCGGGAGGCCCCGCGAGCGGGGGTCGAGCCGCTCCGCAGGGCAGGGGCGCCCGTCGCTGCTCGTCGCTCCCCTGACATCCCCGCGTCTTGAACAAGCACTCTACGGATGGTGTTTTGCTATTCTCGGCCCTTGGGGGCCCGCCGGGGCTGGGGACCGTTACGAAACGACGCAGGATGAAAGGTCGGTCCCGGGGACTGGGTCGAGACCTCGCGGGGTCCGCGGTGTGAAAACATCACGACGTCGGGGGTTTGGATCATCCCCACGTCCCTCCCGGAAAGGTGGAAATTAACTAATCGGGGGAGGCGAGGGGAGGGCTGGGGGAAGGAGGTGGACTTGGACAGCTATTCGATTCTTGTGCGCGCCGCCACGAGACACGGCGGGTTGAGCATCCACATAGTCCGACGGGCTTGTGGTGTATGGCTTTCGGGGGTTACAGGGGGGCCAAACCCAAGCCCGCAGGCCGCCACTGTCGCATCGCATGCGCCGATCGGCAAGCTACGTGCCAGAGGTCGCTACTGCCCAGGGTCACACTCCAGCACCCTCCCTCCCCCTCCCTCTTCTGTCCTCCCTCCTCGCTCTTCCTTCCCTCAGCCGCCGCCCCGGCCCGAGAGGATTTCGGGTGCCTTACCAGGTAAGGCGACCTCTCACCCGGGGCTGCTGCCAGACGCGCCCGCCCTTCCCGCGTGCCCCGCCACGGCGCGCAGCAGGAGGGCCAGCCGTGACAGAGGCGAGCCGGCCTGGCATCGTCGTGCCAGGGCCGAACGAGGCAGGGCCAGGACCTTGCTACGTATTGCCTCAGCCAGTGCATTGTTAGGCAGACATCACAGCAGCATGACGAAAGGACGTTCTAGAGGTGACAGTAGAGGACGCCCGGATCGCTCAGATCGAGAACACGAGCCTCGCTCCCCGCCATGGAAGACAGTCACCAAGTACAAGCGCCTATGGGAATGTCCAGCATGTGCATACCACAATGCCTGGGCAGCGCAGGTATGTGCCAAATGCCATCCCAGCCAAGTTTCAGATCGGAGAGAGCGGCGAGCCAGATCGGCGTCACGCCCACGTGGCCAGCGTAGAACTGCCACCTCGCAGCCCCCACAGCGAGGCGCAGTGAGCACGGCCAACAAGCAGGTTGAAGATGACCCAGATGGAATCATTCCGACCATGCCAGCATCCCCTGAGACGGCGCAGGCACATCGGCGATGGCGAGAACCGCCACAGGACCCGCAGCAGCTCGGAGACTTCAGGAAGGCATTGGCCGCGACAATGGAGTCCATCGAGCGCCAGCTGCACTGCGCGGCCGCGCTCAACCTCGATCAAGAGCAGGTGGGCCGCATGCAGGAAGAGTACAGCGTACTATTGTATCAGATGATGCATTCCAGGTCGCCCCAGGCCAGAATCACGAAGCAGCGCATGTTTGTCGGCCGCTGCAAGAAGCGCCTCATGGACGCCCAGGCAAAGATGCACTTGCTACAAGAGCAATTAGAGGCGGCCGACACTCAATGTCAAGTTCTCACAGACGAACTCTCACAAGCAGAACAGTTGCTGGAACACTTTGAAGACTTGGACGACGAGCAGCCAATCGCAGGCAACATTGCTGTTCCTGACGATGATGATGACGAGCTCATGATGGACGGAACCCAGACGAGCTTCCGCCCAGGGCAGAGAGGAACAACCAGCAGAGCACCATGGACGACAGCCAGTTCCTCACCTTTCACGACGCCGCCCAGGACAGCGACAGTGCAGCGCACGACAGCTAGTCCTGCCGCGGCCTCGGGCACGCCTGCCCAAGCCACAGCAGTTGGTGGACAGGAGACACCGCGCTCCCAAGCCGCCCCGCCCAATCCGCAGGTACCGCCCGGAGGGCAAGCTGCAGTGGTCATGGCAGCAAATGAAGTCAGCATGCCAGCACTTTTGGCAGCAATACAGCAGTCCAATGCGCAAATGCTGCACAACATGTCATCGTTCCAGCAGACCGTGGCTACTCTCCAGACTGAGATTGCCAACATCAGGACCGAGAAGAAGTCGGACATGGAGACCATCACCGCTGCCGCCATCGACGCGGCCAAGACGGCAGTCGCCATGCAGACCCCCAAGAAGGACAAGGACAAACCGGTGCCAGCAGAGATCCAGAAGGCCAACCGAGCCAAGCTGGAGGCGGCCCTGTTGGGGCGCAGAGCTACACGTTCAGTATCTCCTAGACGGCACACGGACAGTGGACAGGCGGGGGCCAAAGTCCTACGAGCTGATCGAGAAGGCGGAGGAACCATGGGCGCAGGTGCAGGAGAAGTGGCATGCCGTGAGGCAGCAGAGGAAGCGGCAGCCAGAGCTGCCGCAGAGGATAGTGATCATGCTGCCTCGCAATCGCCTGCGAGTGTTGCCCAGGCTTTTGTTTTTCCGCCAGTCAGCGCAACACCAGAGAGCCCACTTTTTCGCTAGGGGCCGTGTCAGAAGCGTCTCGGCCCGCTCTGAATTCAAATACTCCCATCCAAGATCCAGATTTTCCAGCTTGCCCATTCCCCAGTGAAGAGGACAAGCCAAGGGAAAATTGCTCGGAACACCTCGGATACCAGATTTGCAGCAATCCAGTGGAATCAACGACAGGTGCTCCTTACTCTCCCATCCCGCCGCTCCACTCTACCAAGAAGCTGTTAGAGAAGAAATGGCCCATTCAGCTTTCCAATGACTTGCTGTCGTGGGCACAGTTTTGGCATTCTTCTACAGTGTCAGCCTTTGCCAGTCTCGTACCTTTTGACCCGAAGGTCCAGATTGACCATCTCAAGATATACACAGATGCGACGGCAGGGACCTTCAAACACCAGGGACAGACGTGCTCACCAGCATGGGCGTTCTGTGTGCTCGCTGTCACCACTTTCGGAGTCTCCTTCCTAGGATTTCTTGCTGGCCCTCTGCAGGGATGGGATGCTTCTGATGCGAGAACCCCGTTGAGAGCTGAGCTAGAAGCGGCCATTTGGGCCACAGCCTGGCTTTTGCAAGCACCATCGTGTTGCAGGCAGGCTCCGATATGTTTTTACACTGACAACATGGACGTGTTGCGTATTTACCAAGGAGGATATGTGCACGGCGTGCTGCTGCCAGCTAAGACGTTACTTGACAGTCTTACGCAGATCATACGAGCTTGTGTGATTGTGGTGGCGTATGAGCATGTACATGGACACACTGCACTCCCGTGGAACGAGTGCGTGGACACGCTTGCACGTCTATATGCCATGCGTGTATTGCCCGATTTCATTGAGCCAGCGTGGAGATCCCTTATACATCAGGACCCCCACCAAAAGGCCCTACCCTGGATTTGGTTACTCTTCTCCGACTCCAGCATACGACAGGCTTACCCACCCAACCACGGTATGCCTCTCCCTACGCCTCAGGTCCCCACTACGGGCATTCGGGAAATTTTACCGAGCCCCAAGAGACCTCCACGAGGCCGACATGTCTTTGCCATGGGCTGGATGGCCATGGCCAATGTGCTCTCGCTGGACCCCCGAGCCTACAAGGGTTCCCGACAGGCACACGACAAGTTTCAGGGTTTCAACGCCACAGGCCGCATGATGCAGCTGGCGGGGCAGTTTGCGCAACGGCCCTACTTCATAGTAGGCACAGTTGAGACGCGTCTCAGGCGGACAGGCACATCCGAGCTTGGCCCGTACTTCCTGTTGCACGCCCAGGCTAACGACTCCGGAGGGGATGGATGTACTGTCTGGATCAACACACATTGGGAATACCAGGAGGGATGCAAGGTACAGCCTTCTCACTGCCAAGTGTTATATGCAGCGCCAGACATCATGATCGTGGCCGTGAGGGCCCCTTCACTTTCGC